AAATCTAAAAACTAATTTAATAACCAATAAATATTTACAATAGCATTTATTTTTTTTTAAAAAAACTCTTTTATAATTCTATTATCATTTAATAAAATGAAAAATTTAAGAGTGGTAAGATTTTATTATTATAGGGTAATGTTAAAGCCAGGTGTATTAGAATTACTTTTTTAATACAGTTAGAGTTACATTTTTAATGCAGTAATAGTTAGTAGTTTATATAAATATCAAGAAGATAATTTATACAGCATGTAGATTATTTTCAAGTTTATACCAAGCTCATTTGGGTTTTACAGGCCCCCTATTATAGTAATTGAAATCAATTTTCAATTTTGTTTGAAAAGCATAATGATAATTAAATTGACTTAAATGAACATATATGCTTGTATATTATAATATATATTATTTTAAAAAATTTGCATTGTCAATTACTCTAGTATGTTGTATAATAGAAAGATTTCTGTTAAGTGTTGGTACACTGACTGTAGATTATCACAGGAACCATCAATTCTTGAATTTTATTGATAGTTTCCAACTAACATTGCATAATTATGCATTCGATTTTACTCATACAGTTGAGTCCTTGCTATATTTTGAACAATAAAATTTTGAAAAAATTATTATAAATAATTTTATTTTATTCATAATTTATTCAAAAATTAATCATAATACAATCTGGTTATTATTAGATTTTTTTTTTAAATAATCAGATTAGTTCTAAAATATTAAGGTAAATAAGTATTTTAGAAAATGCTCATTTTCTGAAACATTTCCAGAATATAAAATCTGAAAATTTTCTGAAAATTTTCTGAAATAAAAATTTGGAATATTTTAAGAATTTAATAATAATTTTTTTTTATAAAGGATGTTAATATTAGCCAAATAGTACATCAATAATGGGTATTTGTGTGCTGCTAAATAATGATAATAATAATAAGTATAACTTTTTAAACAAATGTTTAAACATGTTTTAATATTATTATAATCTGTATTTGATTTCTAAAATGAATTATACAGTAAAATCTGCTTATAATTTTTTTTTGGGATATTGATATTAGGGTATAGCTAATGCTGGCCATTTACTGCACCATTGCCTATTGTTTAAAGTATCTTTTTTGATACATCAAATTATTAGTATGAATATTAGTACTTGATCATTTTTGCCAATAGATATATATTTTTATTCATAGCAAATAATACTGCATACAATTGTTTTTTGGCTAATAAGAGTACTGAGGATATACTTATTTACTTCAACTAAAAATCATACAATCTTACATAACTTACATGGTAACTTACACAAATTAAAATGTAACTTACATTTTACAATTAGTTTACAGTAAATTATGAAACACTGAATATAAAAATAATATTTAAATTTTTATCAGATATGACATTATTTTTTCAAATTGATTAGTGCAACTTGAAAATTTGTTTGCAAATACGAAGCAGCGCTCCGGAACCCAACAGATACTGTTTTCCTAGTTATAATAACGGCTAGATTAGTGAATTCATTTGCAATTTTAATAATAGTTGGGTTCATGATTTGAGTTATAAATAAGTTAATTGTTTCAACAATGGGTAGGTTCATGATTTCAGCAGTGTTGGCGCATAATTCAGTAGTGTAGGTTCATGATTTAAAAGTGGTTTCAACTAGAGATTGAAAACAATGAGTTTCGAGCATTGATTGGTCACAAACTCTAGCTTTTCGAGCATCGGTAAAAAATTTTGGCCGATGTTCGAATGTTCATTGAGTTTTTAAAAATACATAAAAGAATTTAGTATACCATGAAATTTATCAATTATACCATTAGCTCTACATTACTTAATTACAATTGCGATATTACAAAAACAACTTGTACTATTATCGCTACATACAATTTACATGACTTATAATTTGTGCATTATAAAAGCAACCTGTACTATTACTGCTACATTATTTAATATGCATTTACATGGCTTATAATTTGCGATTTATATTGTAAAAACAATCATGCATTAATCCTAGACAGCATGAATAGCAAAACCATTTGTTTTCATATTACACTTTAAAAATACCATTCTGCCAAATAACTTTGGCTTTAATAACATTCTTTTCGCACTCATAACATTTCCTGCATCTGAAAACAAGCGCTCACTTGGTGTGCTTGTTGCATGAATTGCAAGAAATTTTCGGGCCATTTTACTTAAAGCAGAAATTTCCGTTTTTGTAAAGGCCACATACCATGGGATCTCACTCGAAATCATGCTCAGGACCATCAAGATAATTTATAACTTTGTTATTATATTGGTTGGTGAACTTGATGAAAAAACTGATTTAATGAACCCTTTTGCGGTAAGCTTGTTTTTCATTTCGATTAGTTACAGCAACTAATTTAGATGTCGATGAAGTAACTTGTTTAGATAAATAGTGCCACTCCTTAAATTCTGCATACATAGCACGTAAAGTTTCTTCAACTTGATTTCGCTCATCAGTCGATAAAACATATAATCTTTTTGTATTTTGAGTCTAATTGGTTTTTTAACAATGTCTATTTGAAAAAAATTTATTAAATAAAATTATGAAATTGTTATTTATTAATCAATCAGAAACACTGTCAAAACTTATAGTTAAATTTTAATTTGACTGATGCTCGATGATTGAATGAGTTTAAAACTCAATGAATGAAGTTTATTTCGATGTTCGAAATTTTTGATCGATGTTCGAATAATTATTCACCGATTCCACTCTCTAGTTTCAATTATGAATACATTTATGATTTCAATAGTAGTGAATTGACAAAAGCAGCTGAGTTTTATGAATGATTTTAGTAGTGAGTAAGTAACGATCTCAATTGTGGGTGGGTGGTTTCATGATATTAACAGTGAGTGAGTTCGTAATCTCAATAATTTTCGGCTTGTGTGATTTTAATAATGAGTAAGTTCACAATTTAGTATTAAACATGTTCAACAATGAATAAATCCATTATTTTAACGGTGAGTTCTTATTTCATCAGTGAGTGGATTGCAATTTCAACGGTGACTTAAACAAATGGTGAGTTTATGATTTCAACGGCTAGCGGATTCCAATTTTAGTAGCGAAAAAAGTAGCGATTTTAATTGTAGGTGGTGAGCTTACAATTTTAACGGTGGATTCACGATTAGGGATGTAAATTTATGTAAATTTGGTTTCTTTAAATCAATTTTTCACGTAATTTGTAATTTTGAACACATGGTATATTGTTTCTGAGATCAAATTTTTTCGACGATTAAGGAGTTGCGATTTAAATCATATAATGATTCAATATTGTTGGTGGAACTTTTGTGAACCGGTACTTATATATAAGCTGATGAAAATTACATGAAATCTGATTTATTGAAATTTATGTAAATTGTAAGAATGTAACATTCGTATCACAACCCTGTTCATGATCTCAATGGTGGATAGATTCATGATTTCAATGTTTGTAATTTTAATAGGTGAATCCGTGAGTTGAGTGAGTTGAGTGGATTTATAATGGATCGGTTCGTGATTTTAACAGTAGATGAGTTCACAATTTCAATAGTAAATGGATTCGGAATTTCAACAAGTTTGTATTTCGATGATAGATGCTTTTAACGGTTGACGTTTTAATAATGGGCTTACAACTTAGAAGTGTTAACAGTGGGTGTTTGGTAATTTCAACATTGTGTAGATTATAATTTCAATAATGGGGATCCTACTTAACAGTGAAGTGATTATTTCAGTAGTGAGTAGTAAAATTTAATGGTGTTCACGTTTTCAATGATTGATATTCGTTTTTTAATGTATATTGTATAACATTTATCTGTCTGCTCTAACCTTGGTAATTTAATTAGTTAGATTTGAGATTACTTCATATAATTTCCCCGTGCTGGAGGCACAGGTCATTTGCTAATAATAAATATTACAGTATACTCTATAATTCACAACCTTAGTAACGACGGATATGCCAAGAACAAAATTAAGAGCTTTTTATTCCCTTTCTTTTACTTCCTTTGTTTTATATCGTTTACATTTACTAATTTAGCAATTATTTCATTGAATAATCCTTGCATAGCTATTTTAACTTGTTATTACACGATCTAATTTAACTTTATAAGCATCAGTGCATTATTTCGAATTACCGTCATCCACATGACATTACTTCATCCCATAAATCAGAGCATTATAACAAAAAATAAAAAAGAGACAGAAAAGAGTCACAGAATATCTTCAGAAAATAGAATATAAAAATCAAGATTATGAAGCATAGATCTAAAATGTAGTAACTAATTTTCAATTAAAAATAAAAAGAATGTCTTGCGCATCCCAACGTTGTATATTGAAATAAAGCAAACACAGTTAACTCAAAGGATGTGGATTTTTTCTTTGGTATCGGCTTATGTTTGCAAATCACCTTAAATAGATCACCAACTTTATTAACATTAGGAACCTGAACATCACAGCGATCATCATGTAGATAATCCCCGTTAGAATCACGCACATTTACAAGAGAGTAAACATGAACAAATTCTTGTACAAAATAACTAGAGGTTGCATCACCAGAAACATATAGAGTAATATAGTGGGCGGATTTGGTGAAACTCTTACATCAAGAATAGTAGCATTAACACTTTTAGATGTATAACATTGATCAAATTTAGTGGTTCTTCTTTCGAGTGGAATAGCAATGGCAACAGAAAGTGCAACTAATAAACTGAATGCAAAAATAAATTTCCGATTCATTACTTTTTTGGCTCTATGATATTTTTTGGATGTATAAATTTCTTTGAGAATGTAAGAGTTGACAAAAATATTTTGTTTCTCAAATAGCCTATTAAGTCATTGCCCTTTTATAAAAAATTTACCAATAAAACCTTACGTCATACAAACTCATATTTTCGGCTTTCATATCCCGGCCGGATCAGCAAAGCGGGAATAGTGTTTTGACCCGGGTGGGGTCACCTGCGGGTGGGTGGGTCACCCAGGGTTGAGTTGTAACAACCCAGGTTGACCATGGGTTGACCCGTTGGTTCATAGGGAGACATTCGTGTGATTGGTTAATGTAAGTCAATTGTCCGGATAATATATAGTTATTGGGTGCGAAGCAGCCAATAACGAGAATTATTTGTAAAATAATTCATTATCTGGCTGTGAAATTTAATATGTCGGCTTCTGCTTCTGGGCCCCGAAGGGGCCCAGAAATGACACATATTAAATTCGCTGCCAGATAAACAAGTTATTGGCTGCGTAGCATACAATAACGGTATTATCCGGTGGTTTGCGACGATTGTGCTTGCTAAATGACTCGAGTTTTTGGCAATGATTACGTAAGCTGCCAAATAACGAAGTTATTCATATCAGCGGATTTATGGAATTACTTTAAAATTATGTATTTGTTTGTCGAATAAGTAAGTCATGTGGATTGACGTATGATAATATTTGTGATTAGTGCTTATGATAACGATAGAGATTAGTACATATGTGCTAAATATCTTTTTTTTTAAAAAAAAATTTTTCTTTCTTAAGATACATAAATGTCTAAAACTAACGACTATACAAATTCCCCAATTGTGGCAAAAACTTCTAGCAACATATTTACTTATAATATTATTCAACTAGAAATATATCCTAATAAAGATATTCTTGTTTTTACAGCAAAACCAAATCAATATCGAGTTCCCCCATAATTATATTGTTGAAACTTCTTTTGGAAGTAACCAATCACAAAAAATTATAACATGTTCAATTCAGTATCAGAACAAAAAGCCTAAATTTAAAATTGAATTTATATATAACAATAATACTGAAATTGTTATATCAAATAAAAGCACATCAGATGCTGCAAATCTTTATATACGATAATATAATGAATTAGTATCACTTGATATTGAACAAAAAACTGGTCAAAAACCTGCCCAAAAAAAGACTAAATTAAACGGTGTATATGTTTTTTAGAGATAGGAATGGTTTACTTGGCTTGGCTTAAAAAACCAAGCTGAGCTATCAAGCTGGCTTAAAACTAACTTTAAAGCTGATATAAGTAATTTATAAACTAGCATACTAAAAACAAATATAATAAATATATAGTTTATATAGTATTTGAAGATCTACAATCTAGAGATATTTTGCTTAGAAGATAAAATTTTTACATATATAGAACTATATATAATTATTAAATAGTTGAATATATTTGACTTAATAAAAAAAAAACTAACAAAACAAACTTCTTTTTTAAAAATAGATAAAACATTTTAATGAGCTACATAATAATATTTTAGAACATAATGTAAAGAACATTTTAATGTGTAAAAATGTAGTTGTAAAAAAATAAAAATATTTGAAAATTTTAGAGATTACAACGAACTTTATATGGTTTGGTGATTTTTTTCACAGTAAACGTTAATTTAATACAATAAACTATAGATTTTAGATCTCATGATCTCATATTACTTTGGTATAATAAATAAGATAGTTGCGTAGCACACAGTGGCATGCCAGATTACACATGCTAAACTCTTCTCAAATAGCCTAGATCTCTATACCTGCCAATTATATTAAAATTAATATTATACACTCTGAAGATTTTACTGTAAATAAAATAAAATCAAAATTAACGAAGTTCTAAAAAAATTATAATTGCTTAACACATTTTATAACTGAAAACTACTACCTTTCTTTTGTTATTCTCCATTGTGTACCTAGTATAAGATTAAAAATATATGGGAATCTGTACACTGTCATTCATATGCTTTATATTATAAATGTTAAAGTATCTACTCTAAATAAATACTCAACCTAAATTAACCCTTCATATCTATAACAAATTGCATACTCGTGTCTAATAAATAAATACATTATATCTTAATAGATAGGATTTAGGCTTTTGTACTACTGGTAGTATATTTTAAAAAATTCATAGCACAATCAAAAATAAATAAATTTTTACAATTTTATACTCAAATAATTATTAAATCTCAT